GCCAAAGTTAACTTAAGGTCTCGGACCGGAGTTTCCCCTCCGTATTTCGAGCAATTTGACACCCTCAGCCCGACGGGCTGTCATTTCTGTACTAAACGCGGGTCGGAATTTTTCACTCTTTTGGTGGAAAGGGGTGCCGTGCCGCTTATCAATACACTTGATTGATATTTTCTGCGCCCAATTTATTTAGGGGTAAATGAGGCACATCAAAGTACATTTTGAAAAAAGGGGTCATTTTTTCGTCATTTTTAACCATGGCTGCATGGAAAAAACGAATTTTCCCAGGGTAACGGCTTAGTACTCGAAGAAGCTCAGAACCTAATGTTTCCAAAATTTGAATTTAATTAAAATCGATGCGATAAGTTTATCGCTATCTTCGATGGCCCGAACACACCCAGAACGCATATAGAACGTACCATCCCGGCAGTCAGGCGAAAAGGCCACATAACCATCCGCGCGGACGAATACCAGGAAGTCTTAGCTGGACCACCAACATTACGCCACCTATAAAGGCTACAACTAACAGGCTTTTCAGAAAATATAAAGATATGTACACAGATATTACAATTTCAGGGATATCGCGGCCAAAACATACCATACAAAGTCACGTTTCCGGCGATTTACTGCGCACACAGCCATCATTGCATAATACTAGTATGTTGAGCCATGGCTGTGTCAGGTTTGACAAATTGTGAAACTGAAAGGCAAGTTAGGTACCCTGCAATTAATTTATCTCAATATCTTCCAATCAGTCAGCTCTGTGTAGAAAGGCAGCCTGATTTATTGTCTTAAGTAAGTTTTAACAGGTAAATTTATAATGCATGAGTATCAATCATTCTAATTTCTAATGTATGTACTATGTAGGTATCTGGCATCTACAGTAAGCTAAAAAAAATGAGTGCTATGTTATAAAAAACGTGATTTTATGGTAGAGTCCAATTGTAGGCTTCTTTCGACAATCTTTATCTCATGCAAAGGCAAGCTTGACGTGTTGTAATTAAGTGAACACCTACAATTGTATAGTAAGTACAAAATAACATTAATAGGTAGGAAGCCTCTTGATAAAAGTACTAAACTGTATCATAGTTCTCACACTCACATCTGTACCCTTGACTTGTTGTGTCAATTACTAGCAAGCTTGGATATAATGTACAACATGTAGACCATATTAAACCACAATCCATTTGTATACAATCAACCGACTTGGTGTTATTAGTAACTTCGACCAAGGAGACGATACACATGAATTGCTGATGATGCAGTAAGTTTTCAATATAAGTACCAACATCCGATATAAAATCATTAATGGCAGCTTCAGGACAATTCCATAACTGCAGATGCAGAACACAGTGGAAGAGAGACATTCAGTAAGATCAACCGGTAATGACCAATGATACACATACATCAACTTCATGATGAACAGTAACGTTATTAAAGATTCTGAAGAACTTTTAATAGTTAACAGTTATACTTCCATAAAATAGTTCCCCTATGTTAATTTATTCCTAAATAGTTCATTAATCATGCAAATGATGTTTGACTAACAGTACATGTGTCTATTGATCACTTCCCCCTTCACAATAAAATACGAACAAACAAGCAAACACACAAACAAGCAAACACACCCTGCATCCAGCCCTGCATCAAAAACACAACCAGCCCTTCGGTTCAAAGGTTAACTCTGCAGGCTTTCCTATTGTATAAATGGGGACACGTGCATCAATATTTAAAACAATATTGTGATGGCAGTGTTGAAATATCAAAAGATTCATGGTCAAATGAGTAATTTATTAGTAATAAATTATCTAAATGTAATCATTTTCCCATTTTATTCAATCCCTTTTTTGTTGTACATATTTTCCAACATTTTAACACCCCCTTTCATTTAAAATGTGTTCAACCAAAATGGCGACTTTTTTCCGATTTTGCCCACTCCCAGGAGAGCCTCACGCCAGTCGAGATGATGATTTGGGCGACGTGGATTTCACCGTTAGTAAAGCACACGTTGGTATGGTGATCTGTTGCCACATGTCTGGCCGAGTTGCTGACTGAGCGAGGGCCAATAGCTGATAGGTGGGTTGTAATTTCCTTGGCGATATTTTTAGCAGAAAAATAGATTTTTTTAAAGTTGGTCAGAAAGTTCTTTTGTGTTTCCTTCAATGACTTTTAGAACACAGTAATTCTGTAAAATTGTCTCACGAAGTCAAAAATTGCTGTTCATCCTGGGATGAATATGAACCAGGTTGTTCTCCTTTTAATAGCAATTATGAGTGAAGCTGTGAAACGCAGAGGTGGAAAATCCAACCGCGGTGGAGGAAGATTCAACAAGCCTTCGTCTGGACGTGGTGGGGGGCGAGGTAGAGGGGGGAGAGGTGGAGGAGGTAGGTTAAACTATATTGCTGTTATCCAAAATATTATGTCTCATACATGTATCCAGAGTTAATTTGTTTCCTCTAATAAAGCTCATTGCATACAAGTTATAACATACCAGATTTTTTCAGGATCGTGCAGGAAGTACCGGTACTGCATAAGACCAGACTGGTAGGTTTGGTTCACTCACAGTCACACCTTCCTTATGTTATCCTAGGTCGAGGGAGAGGCAGAGGGAAGCCCTGCTTGGCTGGTGGTGGTGGGGAGGGCAGGAAGGCAGGGGCATCTGCTGTTGCTGAGGGCTACTTGGGAGAAGCAACCTTCACTGACCTGGATTATGATGTGGATGATGACTTTGATTTTAGACAACACCATCAGTAGGTTAATGCTAGATAACACATATCTGAAATCCTTGTGTAATTGAGTCCTGTTATTTCTCAGACACTATTTTAAGATCGAACAAAATCTCATGATTCATAACTTTGATAGACTTCATTGTATAACATACTAGTAATTCATAAATAAAGTACCTTGTATGTCTTATGGTCTGAACTGATGCGATTTAGGATTTTAGGAAAATTGATTGATTGATCGATTCAGCAATTGATTGATTGGCTATTCTTTAAATGAAAGGTGATATTCACTTGTCTTGATCCTCCTAGATCTGCTGGGCCCAAAGCGGGTGGGGCCCCCTCCTTTCATGGGCGTGGAGGAAGTTCCACAGCTGGTGTTTCCCGGGGATACAGGCCTAGGCCTGGCCGAGGTCATCATGGGAGGAAAGTACAGGTTCAACGACTGCACATGACCAATGAGAATCAGGACATGGTGCGAGAGATGCTCAAGAGCCTGCAGGGTGCAGACCTTGATGAAGTGTAAGCTGCATACTAGTA